TGATTCGTACTTGGAGAGGAAACTGGACGCTGCTTCGAAGATAATTTGGAAGATGAGCTCCCAGAAGCAGGCGCTCGGGAAAGTGGCGCCGATCCCTCGGAAGCCGGCGCGCGCCCCGACGATTCTACGCACAACGAAGGGGCACTTATCCACCATCGAGGAGGGGTCCCACGAAGACTCCTTGAGCGATCACTGCAGTATCGACACCACATTATGGACCTCCTGAACGCACGACCAACAGGCTGCTCCGTCATGCCCGCGCCACAAGTCCTGCCCACAGAGGTGCGCTAGCACCGCCACTACTTCACAGTAGGTGCTGCACTTCTCGAGGCCGCGGAGGCCATCGAAGACGATGAGGCCCGGATCGGCTACGTGGTAATGTTGGCCGCGCACGAGATGCGCAAATTCATATTGGAGCACCCCGCTCCCGACGGTCAATGCGCGCGCCTCCGGCTCTACGTGGCAGGAATCCCAGAAGGCAGTTGTCGAACGTGGCGCTGATGTGCTCATTCCCGAAGAGTTTCGAGTGCACGCCGCAGCCGTCGCTGCCGCTGTGCCCGAGGAACTGCAAGTATGGGTTGATCACAACTGCTTCTCACGGCGCCCACGCCGAGGAGCACGCGGCAATCTTGATTGCGGATGGGCAGGCAAGTGGAAGTGAACGCTTAAGTAAATCAGACCCATCCCATAAGTTTGGATCGCCCTCATGAGGCTGACTCTCCGAGGCCTTCGGGTCATCCTCATGGGGCTTACTCTCCGAGGCTATGAGGGCGCCAGCGCCGATCTCATGGCCGCGCGCGCAGGCACCTCATCGCGACTTTTCCTGCGCGCGATTGTCTCCGAGGCTGCCTGCTGAGGATGGACGATCGGTGCGTGGGACGTCAAGAAGGCCTCCTCGAAGGGCGTTAGCTACCGCGAAGTGGCGGAAGCAACGGGTGAGGATGAGCGCGAGGTGACCTTCGAGCTCTCCCCTGACGCCGTCGCAGTCCTACGGGGGAAGTAAGGGGTACGAACATTTCGACCTAGCACGTGAAGTTCTCCGCATGGAGAGACCAGGCACTGGGTGCAAATATTCCCCGAGTTGCTGGTCCATCCGATTCGACAAAAGCACCCATCAAATGTCAAATGCACCGAGCCATCCTAGCACCAAACAACGACGAGTTCATCGCCAAACACAGAGATGGCGATCTCGTCCTGCTGGCAACCAAGCATGTCGGCAACATCAATGTCACGGGATCACCACAGGAGAACGGCCAAGCAACGTCAATGTTTACAGGATGCGAAGGTAAAGGTGAGCTGGGTGTTAGCGAAGGTACTTTTACGTGCTGTGGAACACCTCATTCCCCCACGCACAACGGTGGACATGAGCTGGGCCAGATAGTACATTCAGACGCTGAATCGAAGAGGAAGTGCTGAGCTCGGTTCAGATTGTCTGGCCAAGATGTGCCTCAGTCTGCTTATGTCTCTGGCTTTCACGCCCATCACACGAATCGACTTGCACGTCTACGTAGCTGTATTTCAGCGCCACACAGCGGCGCCAAAGGACGGCCACGTCCGGATGCTCAGCACATACGTGAGATAGGCAAAGGCCACGCTACTACGCATCCACTATCCACCCATGCGTTGCGCACGCAATTTCGAAATTCACAGCGGCGCAGCATTCCGAAAGGAACAGTCGGATGGCGCCGGCGCATGGCGAGCCCTGCGAGGAGCCACCTTCTTGCGCATGGGCGCCAGAGACACGGAGACCCACCGAGCTTTCGCCCGCAAAGAAGCGCGTGACTTGCTGGACTGGGAGTCTGGGGCACTCTAACAGTTACGCGAAGCACCTTCGCAAGTGAGCTGACTGCCGCGATTAGTCCAACAGATCGCTGCCTCTGTCTATCCACGACGCTCTACTGAAAGGGCTTCGTGGCCCTGGAGCGGCGCGTCGCCAACGAGATGGTCAACGGCTACTCGCACTGTAAACCGAGCTCTGCCTCGACTCTACGTGAGCGGTTAAAGCCGTCGCAGCTACGAGACCCAAGCCTCCGGCATAACACTCACTGCTGCAGCGCGTGTTCTGGCTCCGCGACCTCTGGAGCTCGTGCCAACTATTGGCCCTGAGCCACCGGCCGCGTGATCGCGGGCGGACCAGACAAGGGCAGCGTCGATAGATCTGCCCTCCATGACGTGGCTGGTGGCTTCCGTCTGCGGTCACATACGCCGTGCGCAGTCACTTTCACGTCGGCTGGCAAGCGCGCCGTGCTGTCAGGGCACGAGCGCCAGCCGACCTCTGACAACTCACTTGTTTGATCGTGCGTATAGTGACTGCGCGTGCTCCATCTTCCTCCGAACCGCTAGCCCCTTTCCCATCCTCATTTTTTCGGAAGGCCTGTCACGTGGCACATCATGGTTGGGGGGAATGTTGTAGCGCGGCAGTTCGGTAGAGCATGCTTTCGGGAGTCTTTGCTGCAGCGTGGGCGACATGAGCGCTGGCGAACGCATGCGCGGACATGGCGGGCACAGAAGCAGCGGGAAGGACCAGGGGGAACACTCGCATTACCGCTGCCATTTTCATGTGCAGGCACGCGCGCCGCCTGGCCGGGCGCGCCGAGCTGCCGGCCGTAGCTCGCGCGCTGCCGGGCGCGCTCGCGGGCTCGCGACGCGCGCAGTCGCGCGCGGGCGGCCACCCGTTGCCGCGCGCGCGTGGCACCATGCCTCAGAGTAAGCCGCCGGAGCCCCCAGGTCCGCCGCCGCCTCGCCGCGCCCTCGTCTTCCTTGTCTTACGCTGAGGAATTAGCGTCGTCAGAGGACGCGGCCCTCGCGTCGACTGCAGGGCGAGCCTCTCTAAAGAGTCGGTCTCCGCGCCCCCTCCGGGCGCCCGGGCATGAGTCGGCGGCCCATCGGGGCCGCAGTCGAACGAGACAGGGCGCGCGGCGCCAGCGGCAGCTGTTCCACCAGGTCGCGTTCAGGCTCAAGGGCTTCCCCGCGCCCGGTCGGTCGCGCCCGCCTCCGCGCGGACGCCGCGCGGCGGCCGCGTCTCACTCGCGGCTGCCGCCGACCAGCAAGGCGCCCGCGATGGCGCCGCCCCCGCCGAGTGCGCCACCGCCCCCAGCGGCGCCGACCGCGGCGCTCTCGGAGGGCGCCCAGCCGCCGTTTGCCAAGTTCGACGAGGAGGTGGTGAATTTCCTGCGCAAGCGGCGTCATGCAGATCCGGTGCCAGAACAGGCACTCGATGGCACCTCGTTCAGCGTCGACGCGATGGGCCCCGAGCTCCGCGCAGGCTCTGCCTTCGAAGCGCGGAGATACCACGGCTGGGCAAATTGTCTGAGGCCCGCGTAAGAACGCCCCGCTGGATATCGCCCTCGCGATGTTTGCGACGAAGCTCTACCACCTCCGGGGCTCGTGGAGCCCTCGGCAGCGAGACGAGCGCAGGCGTTGCCGCGCGCTGATGAACGCGGGGTCCTGGCCCGGATTCGGCCAGGATCCGTTGGCCGAGATCGGCGGTGCATCGCTCGACGCCCCCCCGTCCAAGGGCCGCCCGCCTGGCCGTTGGCGGCCGGCGGGGCTGTCGCTGCGCGCAGCGCGGCCCCCTTTACCTTCGGGCGATCGCTTGCCGCGCGCTCCGCCTCGTCGCCGCCGCTCGCCCGGGGGCCCTCCTCCATCGCTCCCCGGCGAGGCCATCTACGACGAGGCCAGCGTGGCCCGCGGTTCGAGCTGGAGACCGACGTTGCGCCCGTCGACTCCGCGCCCGCTCTGGGCCAGGACGGGGGCCACGGTGCCCATTGGTTCCCGAGGGCGCGCCGCGGTGATCGCCGGCGAGGGCAAGGGCAATAGCAAGGGCAAAAGTGAGCCCCCGCCGGACGACGCCGCTGACCCCCCCCATGAAGAATAATAATCAGAACAATGCTGATGCCAATAACGCTAGTAGTAAGAACATGAGTAATAGTGATGATAACAAGTACAAGAATCGTAGTAATAATAAGAAGACCCGCAGGGCTGGGGGGAAGATCAAGCGTCGGCGCGCCAGCGCGGCCCTCCGCGCGGCTAGCGCCGACGAGCTGGAGCAGCCGCCCTCGCCCAGGGGCAATGCCGAGCCCGGCGCGCCCAGCGAGGAGGTCGCCTCCGGTTGTCGTGATCGGGGCGTGTCCGACGGATTGCGAGGCGGTCGTGCCCAAAGTGCGTGCGCATCCTTCAAGGTCTATATCCATCCATATCGCCTTCTCTACCAGTTACCAAGCCAAGAAGCGACACCTCCACCTCATCACTCACGTGACTCCGGGGCCATCCTCTTGCTTAAGTTTTCAAGGCAGGCTTTCAGACGTCATGTCTGCGGCCCGAGGTCGCCAGCATCACACAATGTGGCATATGGTAGTTCACACCATCATCACTCACACGCGTGAGCTCCTCCTGTGCCATTTACGCAGAGCACGAGCGAATTCACCAGTGCACTGGATGAGCTCGCGCCCTCACGCGCGCGCCCATCAGGTCAGACAACGACGGCGCCTCCCTGCCGCGTCTAGAATGTGTTTGTGGTTGGGCAGTTTTGATCCCTTTTTTTAGTCCCTCTTCTCCGCCAGAGCTGTTCGATGGCCCGCGCAATCCCGACTCGCAGAGGAGGGGTCGCAGCTGTTCGGCCTGAGCGTCGACGCGCATCTTCTTATTGTATGATCAGTACAGGCCCCGCAATCTACACTTGATTGCCGCCGTGGTTTCTCTCGCACAGTTCCCCCTCCCCCTTTCCAGGCCCGTTTGATCTCCCTCCGCTCCCTCTCGCCCTCCCCCTCCTTGCTTCTTGGCCTCGGCCCCCCCCCCCCGATCTCCTTCCCCACCCCCTCCACCTCCACCTCCTCCCCCCTCCGCCGCCGCTTCCTCCTCCGCTCGACACCTTGGAGCTCGCCAGAAACGCGCTGCGCGTGCACTCCCTCGCCCCCATCCCCCCTTTCCGCTCCTCCCCTTTCTTCCCCGCGCGCTCTCGCCAGGGCGCCCGCGCGCGCCAGCCGCGCCCCGCCCCCCAGTTGCGAGCTCGGCCGGGAGGCGTACGGCCGCCCCACGAACAGGAGGGCCGCGGGGAGTGGCGGCGGCAGTCCTCGGGCGGCACGCTGCGCGAAGGTTGTGCGAACGCATCAGCGCACGGGAAGCGTTCGTCGGACACGCAGCCTTCGTGACTTGAGCGTCCTGCTAAGTTCGGTTGGTCACGCGTGTCTCCCAGCTGTGCAGAACGACTTTTGGTGCGCCCCGAAGACGGGAAGATGAACGGGAAGATGGGGAACGGAGGGGGAGGGGAGTGACGGGGAGGGGAGGGATGAGGAGGGGGAGGAGGGGAGGGGGGACGGGTCGAGGGGTCGAGAGGGGGAAGGGGTCTGGTGGGTGGAAAGGGGGGAGGGGGGGAGACAAGCTAGGTAAGCTAGCGTCACCTCCGACGTCCTACACCTCTATCCCTTGCTCCCTGACCATGGCGTAGATATACGATCTATTCGCACAGTCGGATGTCGAGAAGGGTAATGGTCCCAAATTGGTAAGTACGCGATGGATGGAAAAGCATGGCGTAGAAGCGCGGCAAAGCGTAGCATGTCATAGCACGGCGTGGCTTTGTGTAGTGAACCATTGGATCACAAAACATTGCAACGCAGAGCATTTGGAGGGTAACTGGTCCGTCTACGAGAGGACAGGGCCTGTCCAGAATGCTGGTTCCATGTCCTCCGCAAGCGTGTCCGCCCGATGTGTGCGCTTTCGAATGCCAAGCGCCGTCTGGAGGCGCTGGAACGAGGCCAGCGATGCAACTGGATCACGATTTTGCGGCGCTGCAGCGGGAGCACCATATTGGAAGAACCAGAAAGGACCATCTTGGAACAAAAACGCTGGATAAACCAAATAATGAAATCCGGTGTGTAACAACAGATACGCGGAGAGGACGGGAGACTCTCCAGACAGAGTCAGGGGAGGGAGGAGAGTACGTAGTACTCCTGTTGTGCAATTGTGAGGGGGGGAATGGGGGAGGGGGGGAGGAGGGGGGGGAGAGGAGGGTGAAGGGAGGAGGAGGGAGGGAGGGAGGGGGAAAGGAGGGAGGGGGAGGAGAGAGTAGGAGGAGGAGGGAGGAAGGCGGAGGGAGGGGGGAGGATGAGAGGAGGGAGGGGGGAGAGACAGGGAGGAGAGGAGGGAGGGGGAGAGGAGGGGGGAGGGAGGGGAGAGGAGGAGGAGGGGGAGAGGAGGGTTCAGCAGGGGGAGGGGGGGGAGGAGAGGAGTCGATGGGGGGGGGGGCCCTCTGGGGGTGCGCCCCGTCCCCGCAGCGTCGCCCTCCGAGGCGCTGCGCCCTCCGAGGCGCTGCGGGCTGCTGGCGGTGGGCCCTCGGAGTGCGGGGCTGGCGGGCCTCCTGCGGCTTTTCGCTGTGGGCGGCTCCCGCTCGGGTCCGCCGGGGCCGCCACGCCTGGAGGGTGTCTCCGAAGGGCTTAGGCGACCCAACCTCCTCCTCCTCCTCCTCTTCCTCCTCCTCCTGCTCCTCCTGCTCCTGTTCCTCCTCCTCCTCCTCCTCCTCCTCCTCCTCCTCCTCCTCCTCCTCCTCCTCCTCCTCCTCCTCCTCCTCCCCCCTTCAAGACGCGCCCCAACAAGACACGACCGACCGACACAGCGAGAGCAACGACAACAACAATGACGAGGACGCGATGGAGCCGTGGGTCGACTACATCCAGCAAGCCACGCGGCGCGCAGAACAGCTCATGCAGCACCACCACATCGAAAACTGGGAGACGATTCACAGACAGAGGTCGTGGCGCATGGCATCCAAGGTAGCCAAACACGAGCCCACCAGATGGACGTGGCGTGCACTGCACTGGCAACCAGGAGAGAACTCACGGCAACGTGGCCGGAGACACCACGGCGGCCAGCGCAAGCGCTGGGACGACGACCTCATCAGCTTCCTTCAAGAACACCGACCTGACCTGCACCCAGCGCCCGCACCAACCAACGAGCAGGGCAAGCCGAACGACCTCACTTGGGTTCGCTCAGCTCAAGACACCACCACGTGGTCGACACTCGAACACAAATACATCAGCACGTCGCCGACATTCACAACCAGGACTTCCTCCTCCTCTCCTCCTCCGTCATAACTTTTTGTGTGTTGCACAGAATCATTTATTGTGTGTCTCGCAGCTCCTGTGCATGTCTCTATGTTCACAGGAGGCCATGGCCTCACCCACCTGGTCTGAGCAGGCCCGGACAGCTGTCCGATGTGGTGGTTCGTTCGTTCGTTCGTTCGTTCCTCCTCCCTCTTCACGTCCACCTCCTCCTCCTCCTCCTCCTCCTCGTCCTCCTCGTCCTCCTCCTCCTCCTCCTCCTCCTCCTCCTCCTCCTCCTCCTCCTCCTCCTCGGGTCGCCTACGGCCCCGGGGGAAACCGTGCAGCCACGCCCTGGTCCGCCAGCGCCAAATTATGGCGAGTTCGCCCCCCGAGGGGACAATTTCTCGCTCCAGAAGCTCGCAGCAGAGGGCGAAGCCCTCAAGATGAAGAAGAGTGTGGGGAGCGGAAGCGTGCCTTGGACCCCGTTCCGGGGGGCCTTGGAGCAGCGCCTGCATCCAAGAGGCCAGGGCGGCATCGCTCGGACGTGTACATTCTTCCTCGGCGAAGACCGTCGAGGAGCATCTTGGAGCATCTTGCGCCAAAGGAACACCCACGAAACCGAAACATGCACGGGGAATGGACGTCCGGGCGAGGGCGAGATCCAGGGGATGGGCACATGGGGGGATGCGTCGACCCCCAATCGTCCACTCATCACCGACAGGGGTCCGATGGCCCCAGCTTGCCCAGGAAGGTGCGGACTTGCCATCGGGGGCCTCTCGCCGACCCATCGGCGATGTATCGCCGATTCCAGGTCGATGTTTTCCCCCCCTAGGCCATTCCCCCATATCGTTGTCCTTCGTCCATGGCGAAACCCTCGTGCGGCACCGCGGTGGCCGCCACCAGATTGAATTCGCGACGCTTCGCGTAGCCCCACTGGCGACACTCTGGGTTGCAGCACCCTTGCACCCGCCGCCCCGGCGCCGGCCGCGGCCCGCGCGCGCGTCCGGCCAATTAGTTTCGGCCGCAGCCCGACCGTTACTCGCCGCCGCTGGCGCTTCCGCCCGCGGTTGTATATATATATATATATATATATTCACTGGCCCATTCCGGGCTGGCCGCCGTCTCGACTTCGGCTGGTCTAGCACTCCGAGCGCGCGATTAGTCCTTGTTCGGCCTCCGTTCATTGGAGTTCGTACGCTCGTCCACCCTGCTGTTTGCCCTGTGCGTGGTGCCTCGATGGGCCCGCGCTGGGTCAGCCCGACGCCCGCTCTCGCACAGGTACGTGGTGACCCGCGCCATTTCGGCTTGCGTCGCGGCTGCGCCGCTTCCCCGCACTCGTGCGTGCTGCTGCTAGGGGTCCCTCGGCTTCCGCCACCCTGGGAGTTGCAGCCTGCCAACGCTTCGCATCTGGCAACAATTCTCGGTCGACGGTCCTTTGGACCACCCTGGTATCCGCGCTTCGCGCCGCCCGGGGCCTCGCCCTTGCATTTCTCTTTACCACCTCGACCGACGTTTCGTTGGCCACGGCCACCGTGGTGCCCACACCGACGTCTGAGATACGGTGTTTCATTTTCTCATTCGGTGTTGTCCATGGCCGTCGTTGATTTTCCGACGCGTGACGCCTCCGACAGACGTGCAGCTGTGCACGCGACAGTCCCCCAAAACTCAGTCCCGGCAGCTCTCCATCTGAGGTTTCGGCCGCGCTTAGTTGTCGCCTCGCCCGTCGCTTTGTTCCTGCTTGTCCTCTGCTGCTCGGTGCATGCGTGCACCCCTGGCAGTGCAGCTACCCTGGCAGCCGCCGTCAGCAGCCTGCCTCCACTCGCCGGCCTGGCCGCCGAGGTGCCGCGTGAGGCGTCGGCCCATTGGCTTTAAGTTAGTTCGTCTTTGCGCGCTCCGGTCTGACTGGACACGCCGTCGGCGCCTTCGCCTGCGGCCGCTGACTAAGAAGTAACCCCATTGGCCCATTCAGAAACGACCGCTAGGCGAGTTACCCTGATCAGCGAACTAAGTGGGAGCATGCAGTGGAGCAGAGAGGTGAGTCAGCCGTCAATCCGAAGCTCGGAATCAGCATGAGCATATCCAGGAGTGGAACTGTTGAGCCTGCCGTATGAGGTGGAGGCGGAGAAGAAAGTGGCGAAGGACGAGGAGGAGGAGGAGGAGGAGGAGGAGGAGGAGGAGGAAGAGGAGGAGGAGGAGGAGGGAGGAGGAGGAGGAGGAGGAGGAGGAGGAAGAGGAAGAGGAGGAGGAGAAAAGGAAAAGGAGAAGGAGGAACAGGAGTAGGAGGAACAGAAAGATGAGGATGAGGGAGGAGTGGGTCGCCGAAGACGATGATGTCGGCGTCAAGGGGCATCCATGAGCGCCTTTGCAGGTCTTTCGCACTAAGAGCTCACCGGAAGCTTCTCGGAAGCATTTTGTCGGCGGCGAACGATGGGGGGAAGTGAAAAGGAGAAGGCCCTTTCAGGAAGCGGCGGGACTTTTCAGAAGCCCTCGAACCTGCAGAGATGTTGTCTGTGTATTCGGGGAAGGCTTAGAAAACTTCTCAGAAGGCCGAGGACGTCCGAGCTCTCTTGCAAGAGCTTCTCCTCAATGTTGGAAGCCGTCAATGTTGGAAATCTCTGGGAGCCATCGAGCTCTCGTAGACCATTCTGGGAGCTTTCGGAACCCTCTTGGGGACCTTTCGGGGGCAAGGGGGCCAAATTGGAGGCCATCGATCAAATAAGGGGGGTACCCTAATTTTAGACGCTTAGCGTAACTCCACCAGCTGTCCTTCCGCTTGTCGTCATTTGGTGTGTCAGCCCTGTGAGTGGTGCCCACTCGGGCCCGTGTTGGGTCAACCTGACGCCACCTCACGCATTGGTTCGTGGTGGCCCGCGCCATTTTGGCTGCGTCGCGGCTATGCCGCTTCCCGCATCCGTGCGTACTGCTGCCTCGGGGTCTTTCGGCCGCTGCCACCCTGGGAGTTGCAGCCTGCCAACGCGCTCGCCTCCTGGCGTCAATTCTTTGGC